TTCATGTTCTGCTGGCGAGGCGCCGTGCTCCGCTCCCTGGCTTGTTGCCAAGGCGCCCCTCACTCGGGCAGAGTTTGGCGCTGGACGCGACGCCCGCCGGGGCTGGGGCGGGGACGCCAGGCGGCGGAGCGGGGAGAGCTGCCTGTCCCCTCCCTTTCACCTGGGGCGGCTGCTGAGGGGGACAGCACCCTTGGGTCCCGGAGCCTGCACCTCTCAGCTGAAGAGGATCCAGGCAAAGCTCTGAGGAGGGGTTGGGGACCAGCTTCTCAGAGCACAGCTGTGGGCCAGAATCTCCTGCTTCCTTACTGGCCTTGTTGTGGCAGCCTCCCTCCGGATGGGGCTGGGCACCACGCCTAATTAGGGTCCGGGCTTGCCTGCACTGGAGATCTTGAGCCCAGGGGTCACGTTCCCTCTCCCCGCACAGGACTTTTCTGCTAGGGGAACTGTGTCCATGCTGGAGCTCTTGCCCACATGGCTGTAGTGGCTGAGGGTGTGATTTCGCCCCATCCCCTTCACTCCTAACCAACCAGCTTGTGCCAGCAGAACTTTTTAAGTAGAGACTAAGCCTAACAGGCCACCCCTGCTCCAGCGGCCTGACAGGATAACTAGACCTCGCAGATAACAGGTGAAGGGGAAACAGGCCGAGAGGGACGTGACTTGCCCAAGGTCATGTAGCAGGTCAGTTGCAGAATAGGGAATGGAACCTCATGGCTTTCCGTCCCCTCCTAGTCTGGCCACCTATGATCTGCACCATGCTGGCACTCCACAAGAGAGACTTCTTCCCTCTGGGTCAAAATGATCTTGCAGGCAGCTTGTTGCAGAGACAGGTACAGGCCTCAACTACTGCATTCACGTACAAAATATATTGTGGGTGCCAGAGAGTGGCTGTCACCCTTGACCAATTTTGCTTTCTAAGGATCAGTTGTATTTGAGGGTAGGGGACTGCTGCAGACTTGTTCTTGACGTGTTAAAGATGAAGGGCATATTTGGATTCAGTGGGAGGAGTCTTTGAACAGCCTCACTGGGTAGGAAAGTGAAGCCTTCCTTTAGTTAAACTTGGAAAGTTTACAGCTGATCCCAGGCAAATGGATTAAAATATCTTGTTTTTTTATGGTGGATGGAACTGGGTCAAGGGAGCACTAGCTCTTGATTTTTTGCAAGGTAGAGTGCTGCCCATGTGCAGTGTCACTGAAGTTGGTGAGACTGCGTGGATGAAGGGGCTTATTTACCTGTGCAGCTTTGAGACTTTGGGCTGTTTGCATGTTAGCCTTTTTTCTTACCATTTCTCACATTACTTCCATCAGTTCAGTTTAACAAGGGCATCAACAACGTGAGGACTAGTATAGACCTAGAGTCAGTGTTTTTGTCACCATGTGAATTAACTCTGTAAATAGCAGACCAAGGAGATAGTAGAAAACTGAATCTAATAGACCAAACCTTTAACAAATAATTAAATGGAGGAATTTGAAAAACTGGGGCTGAAATGGGGTTGGGTGGTACATGTTTTGATTTAGTGTCATGCCTAATAGTTAGGAAACATTTAAATAAAATGATAAATTTTGTATTTTTTTTCTGGATGTCAAATTTTGTAAAGGTTTCCCAGCTTTTATTCCAGTCCACTTTATGAATTTGTTATAGAAAGCTTCTGTAGGGGTGGACTTTTTGCCATGAGAGACTGAGTGACTAGATGCAGCATTAGCCAATATTGGGGACTTGCTTTTTAAACTATGCTAAATTTTTAGGAAACTTTCCAGGCTTAAAGTGGGGATGACTTTTTCAGTGCATTATACTAGCCATTTGCTGCTACTTATAGTGTTACTGTGTCTCTGACCTGGTACAAGTGAATACATACAGGCAAAGGCTAGCTCAGCACAGCAGTAGCTGTGGTGTCTGGGTTGGAACATTAGTTAGTAAAGTTGAAGGCCCATGGTTAGGGCTAGATTGTGATCCAGTCTAACAGCCAAATTTAGCATGAGCAGGTCCTATTGAAGTTAGTACTAGATATGATCTGGCTTATTCAAGACTCCATTTGGTTTTAGACAGGTAAAACATTTGTCAGTGTTACAGTTCTAAACTCTTCAAGGGAAGTATTGTGATCACAAGAGAAAAACACAGTTTGCATTCACTTCTGTAAACCATTTTCCTAGCTGGATTCATGGGCCATGTATAATGCCTGCAGTAGGATTGTCCTTCTCCCAGTGCAAATGGGTTAGTTAAAATGGTTTGTGTGAAATGCATATGGGACGTTTCTCAAGGCTCTTTGGATTTATCATTGAGCGGGCTACCACATTTCAAATGGACTCTCGAAGATGCCATGCTGTAAACAAATTTTATTATTTGCTTGTGCTACCAATAGCATCAAAGATTACTAAATTGAAAGGAACACTAACAATAAATGTGATGATTAAGTGATGCAGTTTGTTTCCTTTTGGCATTTCTGTAAGTTTCACTGAGAAGTCAGTGAAGTTAGTTTCACTTTTGTTCTGTCACTTTCAGTTAGATTCTCCAGCAGAAGTTCTGTGCCATGTGTACTACCAAGTGGTTGTTGATGTGCTCAGAACAAATGGAATTAAAAAAAATATATGTATGGGTCTCAGATGTTGCGACTCTCTCTTAATGTATGTCACATTTTGTTCAGATCTGAGACTGAGTGTTGCAAAGATATCTACTGTAAGTGCATTCCAGGGTCAAAGTGCAGCCCATGTTAGGCGTTTCACAGTGCCTCTGGCTAAGTTTTGTACAGCACCTTTTGAAAGTCGCCATGTGCTCATCCTCTGTAGTAGTTGCTACAGAGGAGGGCACACAGGGAAAAATTCCAAGGTTGGGAATTCTCAGTGTCCTTTTGTCAAGACATGCTGCTAGTGTGTTCCACTTCAGAGAAAGAAGCTGAGAGCCCATCACAGGAGGAAGAGGAGGGAGAGCAGACAGACAAGGTTTATGGTGTTCTTAAAGAACCTAGAGCCCAGCTGAATGCATTTTTCTGTCTGCTTTGCCAAATAATATTAGCAGAGGAATGGTCTGAAGCAGGCCTTGCGGATAACACCATTGGCCTTAGCTTTGCATAATGCTGGGAATTTGCCCCAGTTACAGCCACCAGCATACATGCAGCAGTTCAATGCCTAGTACAGACAGGCCACTATTTACACTGGTGAAGCTTACCCTTTTTTAAAACCTAGAGTGTGCTGCAACATTGCAGATAAGGCTCCAGGGGACTGTGTGCACTACTAGGCCCGACACAGGACATCTGCATCACTAGCCACTGATAATCAGGGCTAGAAAAATTCCAGGGGTGGAATTTGTGCTAGTGGTGCAGCTCCATTGGTGCTAGCAGTGGTGGGACTACTAGTGTATATAGTCTGTCAATGTTTTTAGTATCTTGATACCTGATAGTTGACTGGAATAAGGTTTAGCTGAGAGTGGTAAGATGCTGGCAACTGGCCTGTACCCATGTTCCTGTTAGTGCTATAGCAGTGGGGAGAGAATGCTTCTAAACTCAGAGGCCTTGTTGGTACCCGGAATGTATTTACCAGTATAACTATAACTGGTAAAGTGTGTACAAACTATATCAGGATCACTAAAGTACAGCCCACTAATGCAGATGCAAATACCCCACTATAAAGGTATTTATGCTTTGGTGGAATATCTCCATAGGAATGGGAATGTGTTAAATTGGTAAATGGAATTTCTATATCATTGTAGCTGCATCCACTCCAGGGATTGTTTTGCCCAGATTTAACTATGTTGTTAGAAAATCTTGTCCTTAACTGACATGGTTAAATCAGTGAAACAACTGCAAGTAGATCAGGTCTTGGTGTAACTGCATTTTTGCTTAGACAAATGGTTGAAAGGAAATTCAGTCAGAACATGCTTCAGAGACAAAATGTGTGAGCTAACATGAGTTAAAATCTTAGCAAAACTAAAACAGTTGAAGTTGCAACACAGGTTAAGTTGAAGCCTACAGAGAAACCTAGTTTTTAACTCTACTTGCTACTTCTGGTATAGTTTTTTACTTTAAAAAACTGTTTTCTGCTGGGCTGGGTTAGCAGGTCAGCAACATGTTTTGTGGCTTGTTCACACTTACAAAGTTGCATGAATGTAATGACACACTTTAAGTTACCCTGTGGAAAAAGTTATGTGGATGCTCTGATTTCAGTTTAAACCAAGTTTATTTGGGCTTTGTTCAAATTGATTGGGAATCTGTTTAAGCTGAAAGAGGGTAAATAACTCCCAAACTAACATTATTGTATCTATTAATTCATTTGGATTAGTTGAGTTACGTGTGTTTAAATGTTTAGCTTTCTTGTGTAGACTGGGTATTGACCTGGCTTGATTGAACTAACACAATTAACTATTGCTTTGTCTGTCAGGACACCCTGATGACATTTTCTAGCTCTCTACATCTAAGGGGGTTATTTTCCCCTGCATTTCTCAGACTTCTGCACCTGGCACCTTTTGTTTCCAGTCCACTTTCTTTTCCTGCTTCTTATGGAGCTGGGTTTGAGCCCACTTGAGCTAGGTGTTTTGTCTTTTTACACTTGAATTTCTTGATCCCATCTCTTGGTTGGGATTCTAATTTCCCTTCTTGTTTTTTCTTTTTTCCCTGGGATATGTCTGTCTTTGGCATATCTCCTTCGTCCTCTTCAGGGACTAGAGACCAAAAATTAATTCAGTAGTTTCTCTCTGTCACTACGTCCTCCTAACTATCTTCTAGAGCAGCGGTTCCCAAACTCTGACAGATTGCACACCACCAATTTAAAACGATACAACCTTAAGTACCACCAGCAAATTTTTGTCGTATAAAGTAATTATAATAAATCTGTTAATGTGTACAACTGACAGGTTGTCTATGTACCACTGGTGGTACACGTACCACAGATTGGGGACTGCCTTTCTAGAGGCTGTGTTGCCTCTGTTGGCCCTGAAAAATGTGGTGTTTGTAACTGCTTGTGAAATGTTGTTATCAGCCTTGTCTCTTGGCATCTTTAATTTCAAGCCACAATGTGCCTCATCTGTGCTTGCCTTAAGTTTCTTATCTCACTTTCTGCCTGAACTTCTGTTCTGTTTAGCTGTTTCCCTAGTCCAAGACAAGATCCTCATGAAGCTCTCCTGAACATCTGTCCTGCTGTTGTGCACTCACAGGCAGAGGCTTTCCTCTCCTCTTTCAGTTTCATCCAGGATGGTGAAATCCCTGCAGACTGTTCCCCTATTTCCTTTATGTTCTTACACATTTCTCTCCAAGCACCATATAACTCCTCCCCTTCCCGCCCTAAGCCACCTCGTATTCTCTCTGGGTGCATTATGCATCTCTGGGTGCAAGACATCGTATGTTCATCCCAGTTATCTGTTTAACTGCTTACACTTCTTCCCTTGCAGTTTATAGGTATTTTGTTTAACTTTTGAATAGGTTCTGCTGTTAAAGGTGTTTGAATATTTAAGCACTTACCTCATCTGCAGCTGTGTTCCCTCTGCCAGGTCACTGTACTTCTCAAAGTCCTCACACATGTGGTCCTTCATCTTTTCCTGTAGGAGCCCCATGAACACCCCAGAAACTTAAACTATGTCTGTGTATCAGGTGTGAAAACACCTAATGCACTAGGTGGCAGAACTTTGTTTAAAGACTCTCTATAGATGTTTAGCTTTCCACCCAGTGCCTCAGTCAGGATCCCTACTTTCCATCCTTCATCCTGGGACTGCAAGTACCACTTCTTATGCAGAGGTCCTGCGTTTAGCTCAGTTACCTGGTGTCTCCTTCCTCTGTGTTCCATTGCCTCCTAAGATGGTGGAGGCTGGTTGATAATATAAAATCATTCAATCTCATAAGAAGTCCATTGTCTTGAGTAAAGTTTGTCTTCTGCCTGCCTCCTTTGTCTGGAAGGTCTTCAGTGAGTGGGGGAGGAGCAAGAAGGACAGTCAGGGCACAGAGCTCTTGTGGGATAGCCCAAATCCTACTACAGACTGAATGGGTTTTACTTAGAGTCTAGTTTGGGTATAGGCAGAGTGTACTGTCCCTAGCCTGTGACTACATTCCTCAAACCTCTTCCAGATAGACTTGTAGCATCTCTAGGGTTGTATACCAGCAGCATGAAAATTAATCTGCGAGTAGCAGATAAGGAGGAAACTTCATCCCCAGGCTCTTCATTTCTATGTGCCCTGCTTACAGGTGAAGTCTCTCCACTGTTCCTCAGATGTATAGATTTCTTGGATAACTGCAAGGAATGCAACTGAATGAAGCATTCTGGGAGGGTTTCTGACTCTTTATTTTGGCTTTGTAGGTGGAGTGGCCCCACAAGACCCAGCAGGTCCTGACTGGTGACAAACAGCTGTCATGATCTCTACAGCACCTCTCTACAGTGGGGTGCACAACTGGACCAGTGCTGAGCGGATTCGCATGTGTGGCCTCAACGAGGAGAGGTGAGGTGCGTGGGTGGCTTACCAGGGAAAGGATCCTGCAGGCAGGGAGCCTGAATTAAGGAGCAGGAAAGGTTAGAGGAGAGAGCCCAGGGAGCTCTATTTATTAATTCTGTGTGAAGCCAATGCAGTGCCATTTACAGAGCTGAGTTGTATGATCTGTTTCAGAACCAAGTTGCTGAGGAGCAAATGGGCAGCGAATAAATACATTAGGTGGCTGAGTCTCACAGTGCCTGTGACCCAGGCCCAAAGGAGAGAGTTCAGTGCTTGCAGATTAACTGTACTGGGAGGTTTCAACCCTCTAACAAGAATTATTGCCTATATGGCACCAGAGCACTCTTTGTGGCGGAGTCACACAAGAAGTGACATTGCCTAAACATGACTGCCCCCTTCTGTGTCATTGTTCCCTTCTTTGTTCATCACATATATGGTCTTAGCCAACTGCTGTTGAACCTGACAGGTTGAGAAGTGGGAAGAAGGCTAGGTGGCTTGTATGGGCCTGGGTACTGAGAGAGGCTTTCAGTGGCTAGGCTTTGGTGGTGCAGGTTAGAGGTTTGGTTGGGGGAATTTGCCTAAAGTGTACTAGGCTTGGGAATTAGGGATTATTAGCCACTGTGAGACAGGACCAGTCAGGACCTGTTTTTGTAAGAGTCCTGAACTGTCTCATGTCATCGCTTTGATGGTTTCTGCATCCCTATTTGTTCCCACGGTTTTAGATTTTATAAACTATGCTTGCCGTTGTTTGTCTTCCCCAGCTTTAGAGTACAGTATAGCTTGTTCAGCTCTGGTGGATGATTTAGGGTTGGAAAATCCTCATTATCTGGACTGAAAAGTGTGTTGTGTGACTGTCCTGTATTTGGGATGTTAGCATCTTGGGCATCAGGATAACTTTTCAAACAGCAAGAAGAGAGAACAGTGGAGTAGGGGAGATTTCAGCTTGTAAGATGGAACATGAGCAGGGAGTAGAGAAAGGTTCAGACAATCTGGAAAAAGAGAAGCTCCGAGCTGAAGCATGGTCCTCTGTAGTCCTGTTAGGAGCTGGCCTTCCATCTTAGTTGCACTGTGATAAAGGCCATGCAATGCTGGATCTAAGTTGTAATACACTTTGGGCAGCTGAGCTCATTAAGTGCTGATGGCTGTCCTAGAGCAATGTTTTCTGGCTGTGGGCTGGAATGACCCAGCTGCTGCTGTTCCTGTCACCACAGCTTCTCCCTGCTGCCTAACTGCAGTGGAGCATAGGCAAAGCCCCCCGCTGCCAAATGTCACTGAAGCCTGAGCTTTGTGGGCTGGATCCAATGGTTCCATGGGCCAGATCTGGCCCATAAACTATGGGTTGCTGACCCCTGCTCTAGGTGCCTTAACAAAATATTGAATAGACCAAACATAACATTTGAGCAAGACAGACTAAGCAGTTGGTTGTAACTAAACAGCTTAGTCTCAGTGTAGTCTCTCTAGAGCAAGGCTAAGAAATACCAGCAGAGCACACTGGGTGTAGTTCACTCTGTTGCTTCCAGGGATGAACAGGATCTGGGGATCTTTTAGGGTTGACACTGGTCCTCTTCTGCCCCTGGTTGCTCTAATCCCATCCTATGTGCCCAGAAGTATGACAAACAGAAGGTTGTTTGCATAATCCCTAGTTGTATGAAGAAGAGAGCTGATAGTTTAGCTCTTAAGACCACTGCAGAGACAAGACCTTCTCTCCTTGGAACAAGCAGAAAAGTGAGAAAGGGTTCAGAAGCCCTATCTTGAGGCTGTCACAGAAGCTGAGGGGCAACCACAGCTTCACCAGCCTGCAGTCTGTCTGTGGATCTCCAGCCTACATGCTTGGTATGACTGGCCCCAGGAGACTTGTTAGACAGGTGCTGTCCTGGGGAGTGGGAGTCTTCTCTCTCCAGGGCAGGGGCTCACTGCACTGGGGTAATCTGAATGGAATGGGTGGTTCCCTCACCCGCATATAGGCAGCAGAGAACATGGGTAGGTAGATGCTTGCCATGGTGCCCCTCAGGCAGGCTGGAGGTGCTTGGTTCTGCTGGCCAGCTCCCTCAGGTTTGAGTGCTAGAGCCGCCTGCGCTGTTGCGGAGCTTGGAGCTGCACTCTGGCTCCACCTGCTGCCTCTGCCACATCCCTGCCTTTGCCTATGGAGGGGCTTGCTCAGGCACTGGAGCAGGAGGTGGAGCCAAAGTTCAGCTCTGCATGCACCGGCCATGCTGCAGGTTGTTACAGAGAAAGCCTGTTCAGCTGGTGCCCTTTCACTGCATCCACCCAGCTCTCCAGCGCCTTGGTCAGTTCAGGTCACGTGCTGTGGGTTAGCAGAGATCTTGCTTGCCAGTGGCGGGTGGAGGGTTAAGGAGCAATAAGTATTCCAGTTCTTTTAGGCACCTCAGTGTGGGAAGGACAGGACTCTGCTTTTTTCAGTACAGGAGTGTTCCAGCTTGTTGTAGTCAATATCCCACTGCATACTTAGAGGGTACAAGAGGCACCAACACTGCCCATGTCTTTTGCATGCTTTCAAAGGCCCAGCTCCACCATGAAAGTTGCTGGTGAGCCAGCTTAGACCTAATGTTCTGTGCCTCATTCTTGACCAGCTCTGTGGCAGTAGCACCACAGATGCTTTCTGTAAGGAGCCCACACACTTGGCTGAAAAAAATACCTGCCCTGGCTACAAATTCTTGCTGAGCCACTGATACCCTGAATAACCTTGGGCAAGTTCCTTTGGAGATATAATTGATAAGATTTGTGTCCTAGGTGTACACCCCACTAACCTGTGGGAGATGCCACTGCTATAATGAGAGGTGTCAGCATGGCCAGCAGTTGATTGGGGGGTCGTAACATGCTCTACAGCTGTCACCAATACCCAATGCTCCTGAATCCCACTGCCACTGGGAGGTGTCAGTGCTCAATTTAGTGGCACATACTCTCCCCCTCCCCTTCCCCTTCCATGAGTGCTGCTTTCCTCCCCTGAAAGTACTGTATCAACACCTGTTGCTGGTGCCCCCCTTTAACTCAGTACCCAGGGCTCCTGCTCAAGTTGCCCACCACTAGTTATGCTACTGAGTTCCTTCCTCTTGTTTCAGCCACACTGGCTGACAAACTGGGCAAGCAGAAGGGATCTGAATGGAAACCAGATGCTGCATCTGAGCCACACGGAGAGGAGTGGGGGGAGGAGGTACAAATTACAAAAAGTTCATCTTGGACATTAATTCTAAGGGCCAGTCTCTTGGCCTTTAGTCCCCCTCATCTCGTAACCTCTCAGCTGTCATCAGGATCATGCTGCAGCCTATAGCAGAAACTTGATCTCCCCTTATTAATATCAATCCTCTTAAGCCTTTTGCAGCCTGAATAACATGGGGAGCCCAGGTTTAAGAAATCCATGTTAAATTACATTTGTAAAGGATGACAGTAAGATGGATGTCTGATAGAAATGGCAGGGAGGAAGCTGTGAGAGGGGCTGTTCTTTCCTTTGCATCATGAGGGCACAGACATGTGAAAGGGGAAGTACCAGCATAGGATGCATGAGGTTCATGCAAGTGCAGGAGGTACTGGTTATAGAGTTATGATCCCAAGGACATGTGATCAGGAACAATTGGCCAACAGTGTAGCCTCACCTTATTGGGGTGTCCAGACTTGAAGATCAGCACTCTGACATGCAGTTTTAGCAACTTTGTCTCTTCAAGGGCCTCGTTAGAGTGGGCAAGAGAGTGGGCAGCAGTATGGGGTTTCCATATAGTCAACCTACAAAGGCCGGGGTGGCAGGAGGTTAGGATTTTGTGTCCCTAGGTGCATGGCCTCATCCCTCAGGACACCAAACATGTTAAGAACTGTGCCATTTCTCAATTTTTCTGCCAACCCATGGAAAACAAGTCCTGGTTCTGGTGTTGGTCTTGGCAGGAGGACTGTAGCTCTTGTATCTGATAATCTCCCTCCAGATTTGGAATGGAGTGCAGTGGGGGCTGTATGGAGAAATGGAGTTGGGGGAATGGGAGATGTGGGAAGAAGAGAGTTGCATGGGACTGTCTGACAGGATTGGGGTTGGGTGGGACTGCTTGGTGGGCAAGTTGAGTCTTCAGGGTCTCCAGGAGCTTTGGATCATAGCTATTGATAGCCTCTTCCCACCCCCGTCTTGCTGTTTTGACTGCTGTAACCCCTCAGGAGCCATAGAACTTCTAGACTGGGGTAGGCAAACCCCGGAATGCATGCCAGAGTGTGGCATATGAAGGCATTTTGTTTGGCACTCATGCCTTGGGGAAGAGGCTGAGGCTGCACTGCCACAAAAAGGATCAGGTCCCATGCGGCTTCCCCGCTGTCCTCCTCTGCCACACCAGCATCTTACAAGTCAAGGTTCTAGGTGTTTTTGGCACTGCCCAAAAATGTTGCCAACCCTTGTTATAGACAATAGTTTTCTATCTATTTCTTAGGAGGATGGCACTGCCTTGCTGTTGCTTCCCAAACCCTGGCTTTCTTTAACTCTGTATCTGAGGGCAGTGCAATCTGCTTGGCTTGGCACCTTTGTTCTGACAGGCAGGGAGTGGCTGGTTCTCCAGGATTTGTTTGCTTGTGTCGGTCTTTCATGGGTCATGTCTGCCAGTTCTGGAATGTGATGGGGTAGGTGGCATGAAGAGGCACAGGATCTGGCTCTCATGAAGAACTCCTATTCCCCTGTGGCAGGCAGGTCTCTTTGGAAACCCAGCAGCTGTCCTGTAAGTTTGTAGTACAAGGGTGAGCAGTGCTACAAGAATGCCTCTGGGTTTCATTGTACCTCCTTTGTCTTGTCTCTGCAATAGGAGAGCCCCGCTTTCTGATGAGGAGTCTAACACGAGCAGCTCCCAGCACTTGGGGTCTCAGGAGTTTTGCGTTGGCAGCAGCCTTTCCAAGGTGAGCCCCTTGTATGCTGAAGAGGTGGATTTTTTCAATGAAAGGGCCATGCCAAGTAGTCTGCCCAGGTCCCAGGGAGAATCCCTTTTCGGGTGAATAGACAGGGTATGGAAGCAGCCCTTTAATCTAGAAAGAGCTATTTTGCTGCTCCCCTTCCCTCCAGGCTTCTCCCTGTCTGTTGGAGACCCAGGGAGGAGGAGGAACAGGTAATTTCTCTTGGGAATGCTGGCTCATCTTTCAGGGAGTCCCTTTCTCTTTGCAGGTGGAGCTCACAGCAGTCAGCAGTAGTGGCAGCAATGCCCAGGGGCTGGATGCAGATGGCAGTGTGGAGGAGAAGCTGGGGCCTAAGCTGGAAGAACAGCCACCTGATCCAAAACCAAACCCAGAGTGTATTGGGAATGTGGTGAAAGATGATGCTGTGCCATTTCCTCTGGCAACTCAGGAAGATGACAGAGGGTTGGAGCCTGCAATCTCAGCAGCTTCAGATGAGAACAACAGTGGGATCAACCCGACACCCACAAGCCTCCCTTCTGACAAACAGGCTGAAGGGTCTCCTGCCTGCCCAAAGGCTCCAGACAGTGAGCATGCCGAGAAAGAGAAGAGCACACTCAGTGCTGGAGCACAGGGGGCAGGAGTATCTGCAGTGGGGACCCCATCTTTGGTTGCTTCCAGTTGCAGCACTCCTGCCTCCAACCCAGCCACCTTCACCCTGAATAGAGTGTGTTTTCCCACATCTCAGGCTCCTGCTATGCAAAAAATGCCCCTGTCCTTTCAACCTGGGGCAGTTCTAACACCGAGTCAGCCCCTTGTATACATCCCACCCCCCAGCTGTGGGCAGCCACTTAGTGTGGCTACGCTTCCAACCACCCTAGGGGTCTCTTCCACACTCACCCTTCCAGTCCTGCCCTCATACCTGCATGAGCGCTGCCTGCCGGGGATTATTGCACCCCCAGAGCTGCACTCGTATCCCTATACCTTTTCTGTGGCCAGACCCTTAGCTCCAGACTCCAAAGTGGTGCCTGTGGAGGTAAACCAGCTAAGCTGCTCTTCCCCTTCAGCTGGAAGTGGTACTCAGCCTGCTGCTGAAGGCCCTTCCCCTGCCACAGATGGCTCTTCCCTTCCTCCCAGCCAGCCTTCCCTGCCTGCATCATGTGGAAGTGCAGCCCCACCATCAGGCACTGTTCTGCACACCAGGGCCCCAGGGGCTCCAGAGCAGCTTGCCCAAGGAGCTACGACTTCTCTTTCACCATTGAAATCCCCACCACAGCTGGAGCGTGAGATGATCTCTTCCCCAGAGTGCAGTGAGATGCCCCTTGATCTGTCCTCTAAATCCAACCGCCAGAAGTTGCCTCCACCAAGTCAGCGCAAAACACCTCCCATGCCCATCCTTACTCCTGTGCACACCAGCAGCAAGGCACTGCTCACCACAGTCCTGTCCAGGTCCCAGCGAGCAGCCCAGAGCACAGGCAGCAATGTCACTTCATGTCTGGGCACCACCCCTCCCTTTGTAATTTTCCCCGAGTTCCTGCGTAATGGGGAACAGGGCTCCTGGGTGAAAAACTCCACCACACTCATTAGCACCATTCCAGGCACCTACGTGGGGGTGGCAAATCCAGTACCTGCATCTCTGCTGCTTAGCAAGGACTCTAATGTTAACTTCAGCAGGGACCCACAGCATCTCCCTAAACAGGAACCCATTTCCATCATTGATCAGGGAGAGCCCCGAAATGCTGGGCCACCCTGTGGGAAGAAATCCAGCCAGGCTAGTTTGGAGGTACAGCAGGACCCAACTAGGCGATTCCTTCATGGCAGAGTCACTCCAGGGGCATCATTGTGCCAATCCAAGGAACTGTCTCCTTGGAATCCTGGTCAGGGAAGTGTTTATCCCCGATGCCCAGTAAATGGGAAACCTACTAGTCCCCAGCTTCTGCCTGTTGGGTGGTCTCCTTATCACCAGACCCCTCTGCTTTCAATTGGCATCTCTACACCTGGACAGCTGCCCCCAAATCAGAGTGGCCCCTCCAAACCATCCAGTGCTGGTGAACTTCCCACATTTCCCAGCATGCAGCCTGCAGAATCCAGCACAGCAGCCTCCAAGGCTCCTGAGGGGCTGCCCAGGCTTCCATCTCTAGACCAGGAAGCCCAGTCCAAGAGCAAGAACTGCAGGGCCTTGTCCAAGCTCTATGAGGAGCCTTTGAATCCAGTTCCCATGGGTACAGCTCTATCTCCTCAAACCAATGCTGTGGATGCAAGGGGAGAAAAGGGGAGGCCAGAAAGCCCTTCAAGGAGCCAGGAGTATGGTGAACCAAAGGCTGAATCCAGCAGTGAAAGCAGTGGACAAACTGAGGTTCCCCAGGGGAGTTGTAGCCTCAAACAGGTAGATGCAAAACCCAAAAGTCAAGTATTAGCTGCCTATTTGTCACATGACCTGCCCATAGCCAATCAGCAGAGCCTGCGAGCATCCTATGAGCTGCCTGTGACACCTGTGGAGGGACAGCACAAGGATGTGGACTGTGAGGCATCCTGGGAGCAACCAGCCTCTGAGGCCCCACAGTGCATGCACCAGGTGGACCTGTGCAGGGTCAAGAAGGAGCGAGCAGAATGTGACATGCCATTCACTTCTGTGGCTTGTGTGCAACCTGGGGCCATTCCCAAGGGCTTCACTGATGCCAAATTCAAAGGAATGGGCCAAATTAAACAGGAGGTCATCATACATTGCAAGTCCAAGCGGCAGCATGATGGGCCAGCCAAAGAGGCCCACAAGAGACTGAAATGCAGAGCCCAAGATGGAGAGGAGACTCCAAGCAAGCCAGGGAGCCGAAACTTGCATGGACGCAAGGTGTGTGAGGGATCCCTGAGGAGGGTCATTAGGCCTAGAAAGGGTGCGAGTCATAGCAGGTAGATGGGATCAGGATTGGGATTCAGAGCTTCCTAGAATATAATGCTGGTGACCACAGACAGAGTTAGGTTTAGAAAGGGGTCTGTCACTGGAGCTGCAAGAGGGAGTCATAACCGTTTAGGAACAGATTTGAGAAACCTGGTTGGCTTTCCCTTCAGCGTATTTAAGGGTGGCCTGGGGTTAACTGGAGTAGCAGGGCCTGAGGAGCATCAGCAGAGCTGCGTATCTCGCCCATGGGAAAGGTGAGCTGCAGGGTAATCACAGAGCTGGGGCGGGGGGAACAGTTTTCTGGAATCTTTTTCTACTGCCTCGGCATAGTGAGTTGTGTTGAGCTTGGGCTGAAACTGTCCTTTGCTGCAGTGGCGAAAGCATCATGATGACCTGCATGACAGCAGCAAACGAGAAAGCCGGGTAGGCCTGGCATCAGTGAAAGAGCACAACAGCCTCAGGGTGAAGCGCAAACGCAGGAGGCCAGCAAAAACAGGGGTTCCATCACCAGGCCATCATGGGGACAACAACGAGGAAGGTACTATTACAGACTTCAAACTGTTCTCCATGCTGTAGCATTGCCTGT